AGTGAGAAATCATGTGACAATTTGAAGTTTGAAAAAGCGTTCTGCCTCTTACTTTTATTGATTTATTCTTTTGAGACAGAGCCTCGTTCTGTGGCCAAGGCTGGAACGCAGTGGCATGATCTCAGCTCACTGCAACCTCCACCTCCCGGTTCAAGCGATTCTCATGCTTCAGCTTCCCAAGTTGCTGGGACTATAGGCACCCACCACCACACCCAGCTAATTTTTGTATTTTTAGTAGAGACGGGATTTTACTGTCTCTACTGAAACCATTGGCCAGGTTGGTCTTCAACTCCCAACCTCAGGTGATTCACCTGCCTCTGCCTCCCAAAGTGTTAGGATTACAGGCGTGAGCCACCACGCCCAGCCCTGACTCCCTTTTGAAAGTGAGATGATTGTCAGCTTTTTTTCATTAATATGAATTTGCAATTGAGGCACTTCCCTGTGACATCCTACAAAGAAGCAGTGTCAGGAAGAAGACACTCAATGAAACCCTACTCCCTCCTGAGACATGTAGCAGGTCCAAGCTTGGCTCTGGAGCCAGTCCCAGCTCTATTTGGGCTCTTGTCATGATGGCATGGGCACTGACACGCAGGGTAGGCTCTGTGGAACCCTCTGATGACCCAGCCAGAGGGACTGGTCTTGAAGTTCCAGAGCTGGCACATCATGGAAAGCCTAATGTTTGTTGCCATGGAATCTCCTGGGGGAGTATGAGAAGAATTCATAAAAAGTTAGAAAGGCTACATAAACATCAATGACATAAAGGAAAACACAAATTCAGAGGTGGGAGAGACTAGTTCCAAAGGAGGGGATTATATTAGAATGTGGCTTACAAATCTGTCTATACAGAACTCACTTGGGGAAGCTTAAAATACAGGTTTCTGGGCTCTACCTCTAGGGAGCCTGGACTGTGTGATCTTCTGTGCTTAGTGCACTGCCTGGAACATAGACATGCTCAGTAAATGCATTAAGAATGAACGCATCTCCAAGGTCCATTCCAACTCAGTGATTCTGTGTGTCCTTCTGGCTTGGGGAGGCAGGAGGGAGGTGTTGCTGGAAGAATCTTTGAGGCAAGAAGAAGAGCAGGATCACAGGACCAAGTAACTGGACAGAACAGTTTGGCACCTTTGTGCCAAATGGCTACTTTGCATAAATGTCAGGTGCAGAGTAGGGGCGGGTGAGCATGCTGGTTTAGACTTTCCCCCTTCCTTTAATCATCAGCTTTTAAGCTGAACTCAGCTTTTATTAGAGGAAGGTGAGCTAGCTGAAACAGGCAGATGGAATTTGCTATTGTTGTTTTTTTCTGAGAAAACAAAAGAAGTGTGAGAAACAAAGTCCTTAGCTAGCTCAAAAACAGACACGTGTGAGGGCAGAAGAGGGACCCTGGGTTAGGACTTGAGACTGGAGCACCCCTCACCCCCCATCGGCCCACTTGTGGTGTGTTGACGTACTGTCTGGGTCCTCTGGGTCTATCGCCTAGTGATGGCAAGCAAGCCAGAAAGCCCAGGGAATCCCAAGACTCCAATGTGGGCCCGTGTGTAAGAGAATCTTAACGACCTCAGGCTACCTGTGAGCCCAGCATCTCCAGTACCCTCTCTTGATTCCCACAATTGCTGTTTCCATAGACTGAGGCTCTCCCAGCACAGTTTCCCTGATGCCTCCTAGAGCCTGTTCCACTCTCTCCAGGCTCTCAATGGAGAAAGTGCTCCTGTGCTTGTTACTGCCTTCTCCTCCCTTGCATTGTGTGGAACCATTTACAGTTATCTGCTATAATATCTTTTGCTTTTAAACAATGGTATTGTTGATGATAAAAGCAGTGCACATCGATACAAAAAGTTGGGAATAAAGAAGCTTCACAGTTTAGTTCTGGCTGTTTAGAAGGCTTCTGTAGGCTGTGATGGTCACAAAAAGGAGAACTGGAAAGAGCTTTAGCTGGGGGCATGATGGCTCATGCCCGTGATCCTAATACTGGGAGGCCAAGGCAAGAGGATTTCTTGAGCTCAGGAGTTTGAGAAAGCCTGGGCAACATTGCAAAATTGCCCAGTGTTTCCCATCTCTACCAAAAGTAAAAATAAAAATAATTGGCTAGGCTTGGGAGTGTGCACCTGTAGTCCCAGCTACTTGGGAGGCTGAGGTGAGAGGATTGCTTGAGGCTGGGAGGTAGAGGCTGCAGCCTGGGTGACAGGGCAAGACACCATTACTAGAAACAAGAGCCTCATTGGCTTTCTCTGATGCCCTTTCATCTTATCTCCTGTCCCCTCCAGAGGCTTCACCCAGCCATTCTCCAGTGCCCAGGTCTTGGACTGCACAAGAAGCATCCCCTATGCTCTGGACTTCTGTGAATAAACTCTTTTTTACATAAAGGATTGTAGATTTAGATCCACAGCTCAGGACTATTAAGGAGATTCCTGTTTTATTGGCTTAGAAATAACAATGTAACGAAAGCTCACTTTATTAAAGAAAAATCATCTTGCCACTGTGAATATGGGAGAGCACATCTACTTCCTCCTGCCTCTGGGGGATGCCTTGGTTGAATTACGTGTTATTATAAGGCATTGTGTGTCTCTTGAGGAAGCTGCTTAAAGACAGCCAACAGGCCCAGTGCAGTGGCTCAAGCCTGTAATCCCAGCACTTTGGCAGGCCGAGGTGGGTGGATCATGAGGTCAACAGATCGAGACCATCCTGGTTGACATGGTGAAACCCCATCTCTACTAAAAATACAAAAAATTAGCTGGGCATAGTGGTGTGTTCCTGTAATGCCAGCTACTCAGGAGGCTAAAGCAGGAGAATTGCCTGAACCCAGGAGGCGGAGGTTGCGGTGAGCCTAGATCGCGCCATTGCACTCCAGCCTGGGTAACAAGAGCGAAACTCTGTCTCAAAAAAAAAAAAAAAAAAAGACAGCTAACAATCAGCAAGTTCATAAACTTGTATGACCTATGGGTATCTGAGAATGGAGTACAGGTGTGCAGAGATGTAGAAGCCACCAGTCCTTGGGGTCACTTGGCCACCTGGGGCTGCTAAACTCCTGGGCTGCATGCACATGTGTACACACACACACACACACACACACACACACACACATCCCTTTGCTCTGTCAGCTAATTTCTGAGTTCATGGTTTTCCTGTTCACAGGAAATGAGCAAAGACAGGTCTCTCCATTTTGCAAATAAGGAAAATGAACTCCAGCAGACAACTTTAGCATATGCAAAGCACTGGTTTAACCCCTTTACACATATGAACTCCCTTAATCCTCCCAACATTTTGAGATTGCACTAATATTATCCCCACATTGCATGAGGAGAGGCTAATAACTTGCCCAGGTACAAACAATGAGTAGCAGAGCCAGGAATCAAAATGGAAGAGTGTGATTTCAGAGTCCATACCCATGAGCATTATTTTATCATATTGCTGCCCATGGAGTCTTTCTGAAGTACTGCTTTGCACATATAACTCTCAGCTGTACAAATTGTCAGTGGTCCACTGTTGCCCACAGGATAAAGATCAAGTGTCTTAGTCTTTCAGTGCTTTCCACACCTGCAATCAACCCCTGTTCCTGCTAACCCAGCATGAGCAGTGAAGAGCCCTGGAGCGTGCCTGGATGGTGCTGTCTCACTGAGCAAGCATGCTCTCTGCCTGTCCTCTCAGTTCAAGCCCAGACCAAGCCTCACCCATTCAGGAAAGCATCCCTTTTTCCACCATCCTTCTCAGCTGACTGTATTCACAGTGATCTTTTCCTTCTTTGTTGGTACTCACTGTTCATGCCCTTTGTTTCGTATTTAGTTTGGGTTATATTCTGTTAATGTGCCTTTCATTTATATGTCCAGTCTCCCTATGGCATCCTCAATGTCAGCCTGTTATTGAAGATGCTTATTTTCATCCCCACAAATCTATTTGATGAGAAATTGAGACTCAGTGAGATTTGCAATACAATATTTGCTCAGATATCATTTTCCATTCAATAGTGAAATCCTAAATATAGCGCATTAGTGAATTAACATGGTCTGAGACCATGCCCCATGCTCTATGCAACCCTCTCTCCCTCAGACTACCTCCCCATTCCAGGAGGTCAAGATTGACTGTCCTAAACAGTCCTCATCATTACTGCTCTGTGCAGGACTTAGCTGTGCTGGATGGTATTAAGTGTTGTACCCAGTTGTTATTTCAATGAGGTCAAATTTTCATAGAAGCGGGTATGGCACCAGATGTGTCTCAGCCTTGGATAAACAACCTTCCATTCCACAGGGGAGGTCTGAAAGAAGGAGAACCCCTGGTTTGGCTCAAAGACCAGAACTTCGATTCAATATGCAGCCTGTTGCTGCTAAACTTGTCATTTGAGTGCCAGCTTCACAATTTTTGCCATGTCTACATAGTCCTCACACTCTGCTTTATTACTTTTTTATAGAGACAGGGTCTCTATCTGTTGTTCAGGCAGGAATACAGTGGCATGATCACAGCTCAGTATAACTTGAAAATCCTGGCCTCAAGTGATCATCCCACCTCAGCATCCCAAAGCACTAAAATTACAGGAATGAGATACCATGTCTGGTCTTATATTTTATAACTTAGATTTTAATCTCATCCTAAATAATAACAACCACCATGTTACAGGTTCAATGTGCTCGTTACAGTTTTTCAAATGGATATTACAGAAAATGCATACCCAGTAGATAGCTCTTTTTTTTTTTTGAGACAGAGTCTCACTCTGTCACCAGGCACCAGGCTGGAGTACAGTGGCAGGATCGTGGCTCACTGCAACCTCTGCCTCCAGGGTTCAAGCAATTCTCCTGCCTCAGCCTCCCGAGTAGCTGGAACAACAGGTGTGTGCCACCATGCCCAGCTTATTTTTTTGTATTTTTTAGTAGAGACAGGGTTACACCATGTTGGCCTGGATAGTCTCAATCTCTTGACCTTGTGATCCACCCACCTTGGCTTCCCAAAGTGCTGGGATTACAGGCATGAGCCACCGCACCCGGCCAACTCTTTTTTTTTATTTTTCAAGACAGAATCTTGCTCTATCACCAGGCTGGAGTGCAATGGTGTGATCTCGGCTCACTACAATCTCCACCTCCTGGGTTCAAGCAATTCTTCCTGCCAAAGCCTCCCAAGTAGCTGGGACTAAAGGTGAGTGTCATTATGCCCAGCTAATTTTTGTATTTGTAGTAGAGACTGGCTTTCACCATGTTGGCCAGGATGGTCTCAATCTCTTCACCTCATGATCTGCCCACCTCAGCTTCTCAAAGCTGAGATTACAGGCTTGAGCCACTGCACCCAGCCAGGTAACTGTTTATCTGTGTACTGCACGCATTATGTCACCTTCCTCTGTGGTGTGCTTGCCACCCTCTGGGACACACTGCTCTAGTATTTTGATTTTCTTCTCCTCACCCTTTCTAAGTGGGGAGTCTCTTCTGATCAGGTCACTGGTGTCCAGGCTGGGTGCCTGTGTTCTGGTAGGTTCCACCATGACACCTTCAGAGCCACACTTAGGGTGAAAAGACTTCCAGGCAAGGCAATGGGCATTTTCTTTCCTAAAGAGCAAGAGCAGTTCAGCTGTTACTCCTTACCAAGATTTTATTGGAAAAAAAAGGCCGTACTGATTTTTTTTTTTTAAGCATGAAAACCATAGACCAAGCCCATCCAGGATGAACACTTTGGGAATGGTCATTTGTTTGGATAATCATACAGTCACACATTCATTCAGTGCTTATTGGAGCCTCCCTTGGCTCTTCCTAGCTTAGGGGTCAGGAGAGCTGGCTTTAAGCATAGTGTGTTCATTGTAATGAAACAAAAATGTGCAACTTGGGATGACACCATGCCAAGCACCGTTCCTATTTTCTTCCACTTGATCCAGCTTGAAGGTAAACTTTTGTTTCAAGTCCAGAAGCTGCCTTCCAATATCAAGCACTCCAGAATGACCCAAGACCTTCATAAGGTAGGGAGTGATGGTCAGCTTCTTTTCCCCAAAAAACAATGAGGAGAGGGTGGCTTTGAACAGGCAGGTCTGGCCAGTTTATCACAACACATATCATAACATGATGACAGCACTCTATCCACATCACCATGCCCTGTCTCCACATGATTTTTAAAAATGTTTTTATTTTAATGTTTGTGAATACATAGTAGGTGCACATATTTATGGGGTACATGAGATGTTTTGATATAGACATGCAATGTGTAATAATTACATCATGGAGAATAGGGTATCCACCCCCTCAAGCATTTATCCTTTGTGTTTCATACAATAAAATACAATTAAATTACTATTGATTATAGTCACCCTGTTGTGCTATCAAACATGAGGTCTTATTCAGTCTGCGTTTTTATACCCATTAACAATCCCCACCTTTCCCCCCCACTACTACCCTTCCCAGCCTCTGATAATCATCCTTTTAATCCCATCTCCATTAATCCAATTGTTTTGATTTTTTAGATACCACAAATAAGTGAGAACGTGTGATGTTTCTCTTTCTGTGCCTAGCTTATTTCACTTAGCATAATGATCTCCAGTTCTAACCATATTGTTGCAAATGACAGGATCTCATTCTTTTTAATGACTGAAGAGGTATCCATTGTGTTTAATTATCACATTTTCTTTATTCACTCATCTGTTCATGGACACTTAGGTTGCTTCTAAATTGTAGCTATTGTGAGCTCTCTCCTGATTAGTCAATCAATCAGTGCATGAGGGCAGGGATCCAGAGAGTCAGTCAAATCAATAATGTAGTCATACAGGAAATGGAAGCTTAAGTTGCACTGAGGAAGATTTGTATGATATAACAGGAAGGACTTCCCGTGTTTGGGTGGGAAGATATTGCAGTAATAATAATAATGGCCACCACTTACAGAATACTCCACAGAGACTGACTCATTTATGTCACAAAAGCCTTATGAGGTACCCCATTTTTGTTCCCGTGGTAGTGATGAAATAATTGAGGTTTAGAGAAAGAGTCAATGTGACCTGATGAAAGCCTACAGCTAGTAAGTAGTAGAGCAGGGACTCAAACCCAGAGCCCAGGTACTTGCTAACTCTGCTGCTCTGGAATCTGCTTTTCTTGCCAAGAACTTTAAGAATAGCATTATGTCCAGATTTGGGTTAGGCTCATTCTTGATGGGGGTTGGGGGGGCTAGAAGAAACGACCCCTGTGGACAGTTTCTTGCCAAAGGCTTTTGTAATGTATTCAATTTCTCCTTCTATAGAACACCAGGGTTACTTCACTCCCCATTGTGGACACTAAGGGGAAGAAGAATATGGTAAGCTTCCCACACATTAGCAGCCAAGTCCTGCTGAAGTCATCCCTGCTGTATCAGGTGAGTGCAGGAGGATGGGACCCTGAGCAGGTGTGTGAAAGACCTGGTTTTAGTCCAAAATCAGTTTTATAAAGGCCCAGGAGGGTGGGGACATCCAGCTCTTCAGCACAGTATCCGCTGAAGGGTTGGATACTAGCACAGTATCCACTGAAGAGTTGGGATCTAGGGGAGAAGGTTAGAGGTGAGAAGGTTAGAAGTGAATCAGAGGCTCCTGGCTGATGCACCTGCGCCTTCACATGCCCCCGGGCACACACGCAGACATTTGCTTTCTTACGGCTGCCAGCTTTAAATTCTGCCCTCCAACTGTCGCTGTGCGAAGTGGTCCTTTGCTGCATCGAGAGGAATGCAAATGCCCCATTCATCTACACTCTGAGCAAGGGCAGGTCTTGCTGCTCACTCCACTTGGGGTGTGGTTGCAGCATAATCTCTCACCCTTTGTGAGTAATATTATACCTTGGACAAACATAATGGCTTCAGATTGAGCAAAGGATCTCTTTTCCATGCCTTAAGTTATGGTTTCTCTAATTAAGTACCCAATTTATAAGAAAGATTAGCTTACCTCTTTCATCAACATGACCTGGATGTGGGACATGGAATCAAAGGAGATTACTCCAGGGCTTTAAGATTTAATGAGTGCCCTGCTGGGTTTCAGACTTGCACAGGGGAATGCGGTGGTGCATGGGGCCTGTAGCCTCTGTACTTTGGCCAATTTCTCCCATTTGGAATGGGCACATTTACCCAATGTCTGTATTCTCATGGTATTTTGGAAGTAACTAACTTGCTTTTAATTTTACAAGTTCACAAGCAGAAGGGATTTGCCTTGTCTCAGATGAGACTTCAGACTTGGACTTTTGGGTTAATGTGGAATGAGTTAAGACTTTGGGGGACTTTTGAGTTAATGGTGGAGTGAGTTAATAGTTCAGTGACTTTGGGGAACTGTTGAGAAGGCGTGATTGGTTTTGAAGTGTGAAAAGGATGTGAGATTTGGGAAGGGCAGGGGTGGAATGATTTGTGATTGGTTCTGTGTCCCCACCCAAATTTCATCTCAAATTGTATTCCCCATAATCCCTACATGTTCAAAGAAGGACCTGGTAGGAGGGAATTGGAACATGGAGACACTTCCCCCTATGCTGTTCTTGTGTTAGTGAGTTCTCACAAGATCTGAGGTTTTATAAGGGGCTCTTCCCCACTTTGCTTGCTCTCCCCCACTGCCATGTAAGACATGACTGCTTCCCCTTCTGCTATGATTGTGAATTTCCTGAGGCCTCCCTAGGCATGCCAAACTGAATGAATTAAATCTTTTTCCTTTATAAATGATTCAATCTCCAGTATTTCCTTTTTTTTTTTAAATTTTGGGCCAGGGTCTTCCCAGGCTGGAGTATTTCTCCAACCTTAGCCACCCAAAGTATTGGGATTACACATGTAAGGCATGCAGCCTCACATTTAAAGGGGTTTAAATAATGAGTTCAGGGCCAACTGCAGAGGCTCATCCCTGTAATCCCCACACTTTAGGAGACTGAGGCAGGAGGATCCCATGAACCCAGGAGTCCAAGATCAGCCTGGACAACATGGCAAAACCCCATCTCTACAAAAAATACAAAAAAGTAGCCAGGCATGATGATGCACTCCTGTAGTCCCAGCACTTGAGAGGCTGAGGTGGGAATAATTTGAGCCCAGGAGGTGCAATTAGCAGTGAGCTGAGATTGTACCACTGCACTCCAGCCTGTGACATATCAAGATTCCATCAAAAAAAAAAAAACAAACAAAAAACAAACCCAAGCCACAATGAGTTCATTTCTCCTGAATTTTGAGTGCAAAAATTAATTTTGATTTTTAAAAAGTTAAGTAGTTTAAGAATGTGTATTCTTTAAAAGAGCACTGTACATGCAGAGGCCTCGGCCTTATCATTACACTGACAAGCTAAACTGCCTCATCAATACTGTCCCTGCAAAGTTGCTGTAGAAGTTGATTCATCAATTAAAGGTCAGATCTGTGCATACACAGCTTGAAGAAACTGCCAGCAGTTCATTGCTAATTACCAGGACAAACATTTGTATTTCAAAGTTGACCAACAGGATGACAATTCTCAAAGCTCTAAAAATATTTTGTCCTACTAAACGCTAGCCTAGGGTATGACTGTTACCCATCCATGGTTACTAACAATCAAAGGCAACACTGCTTAGAGCAACAAATGCCACAGGCAGTGGTCTCAATAAATCCGTCTTTGTCTGTCACTATAAAAGCTGGTCTGGTCCCAACTCAGTATCAAGGTTATTATTCCAGACAGCCCAGGACTATCAATTTAGAAGTTTCCTTAGCAAATAAGTACTTCGGATATGCTTGCAAGGGCTCCTGAATTGGAGTTTTCTGCATCATCTCTATAAAAACACTGTTTCACCTCTAAAGTCACTGAAGAATTGAAGCAGACAGACCCTTGGGAAGTTTCCTAAAGGAGTGGGAGTGGCTTCAAAAATAACCTGCCTTCTAGCATCAGGCCACTAACCCAGAGAATTCCCTTCATGGTGGGATAGTCACTCAAAGCCTGCTATGAACCTAACCCCCAAAAAGGTGATGGAAAAGGCTAGAGGAAAACCCTAAACAATTGACCATGCCTTGTATCTTTCTCTAGAAATCCAATCAACTAACAGAAAAGCCTATTTGAAATTATAAAATGTAGATGCTACTCATGAGGGCTGTCATCAATGTACAAAAACTATTAACTCCAGTGGATGCCACGTTTCTTTCCCTGTATTAAAAAAGTTCCTCACATTTAATAATTTTGGTTAATTTAGATCAGTTTTGAATGAACAGACAGCATGAATCAAACTTAGTTCAAACCTTAATGATGTAATATTTACTAACAGCCAGTTCTCAATATAAAAGATTTATGAATATCCTAATATTTCTACTTTAAAAACTTGCTTTACAAAAAAAATTAAAGAAATGCGCTTTTGAAGAACAAAGTTTCAGGGCATGGAGGAAAGAGAAAGTGACCATTACAAATTCTTCATAGAACCACCAGGAATCTTTAATCCATTTAAATACAAATATAGAAGATCAGATTCTGATCTGACATTATTTCTGCATTTTTAGAAACACTTTTCACTCACAAATCCAAGGTTGTAATGCCATTAAAAATATCTACAGGAAAGGACTGGTGTGAAATACAATATTATGATAATAGTTATTGCATTAAAATGGTTACTTTTCTGTACTTCACATGTCTCACTATATGGCTATATAATTTTTATAATAAAAAATAATAAATTATGGAAGCATTCAAGGTTACAAAGCACTGTTGACTTTATAAAAGAATTCTTAAAACAAATGTGCAGAAAGAAGGCATTCAACTATGATAGAGAAGCCGCCAGGTGGAAAGGCTCACGAGGTCCCAGGAGGAGCTCCAGGGGGAAGCTCATTGTTGGCCTTTCCAGCAGTGCTGTCCCTGGACACTGGAAGCAGCGGGAGCCCCTTGCCTGTGGCACCATGGACTCCCACCAAGGCACGTATGACGGACACTGTACTTCTATACATTTATTAGCGTTGTGTATATGGGGACTCTCAGGGCACTTCTGAAACGCATACTTGATTCCCTTTTACATTGAGGAAAGTAAGATTCACACACAAATACCAAGATGACCAATGAATGGTGGCCTCACTGGCAAAAGCAGCCATTGCAGGTAACCACATTGCCTCCCTAGCTTTCTGTAACCCATGGGATTAGGGAAAGGTTAAGTAACATTTCTTTTTCAAATTCATTTCAAACACTCAGTTATGTTCATTCAAAAAACAGAAACTATATGCACAAGACTAAACAGAAATCATTCACACTGACAGCTCACAAAGGGGGCTCTCTGTACCCTTTCAGGAGGGTTTGGGGCAATAAAGCCAAAATCTGTATTTAAAATAGGTGTGTCTCATAAGATAAATTTTTAGCTTACTTATTAAAGGTCCTAGTGGACATTCCAAACTAGTAATTTATACCTAGAGAGAGAAAACATAAATGCTTACTGTATAGTTATATAAAAATAGAAATCTATTAATAGAGTCCAATCCTCAAGAAAGCACACAATTAGTGCCCAAAGGCTGTATATATACCAAGGAAGGATGACTTCCTTCCTTGATCTCTAAACAACATCCTCTCCACATCGGGGATATCAAGAGGTTGGGCATTTACCTAATGCCACAGGGTCCACCGGCGGGGGTCACAGCTGCTGGTTGGTGAAGAAGGATTTAGTCTCCCTGCAGACCGGATTGACATAGAGCAGACAGCTCAGTGTCAGCTGCTTGGAGCACAGCTCGTTTGACTGGATGTGTGAATGCACCAAGTCAGCCAGGGCCTGGAAGACACACAAGAGGCGAGGAGGCATCAGAAGCACAGGGTCTGCTTATCTGCCCTGCCCCCTCCTCCATCTGCCCAGGTCAGCGCTCTGGCTTGAGGTTTCTTTTCATCTGAGTGGTGAGCATTTTGGATCAAATTCCACAATATCTTCCTTTCCTGAGAATCCTCAGCTTAGAGAAGTTAAAACAGATTTCAGGAAATGAAATCCTCTTACCCCACCCTCTAGACCTTTTCTCTGGAAAGCAGGTTCGAAATTAGACATAGTTATAGGTGGGTAGAAATCAGAAATTTGAGGCTATCTGAAGGAAGACTGAGCAGATAAGGATAAAATTCGATTTTATTTTTCTAACTAATTGGAACTCCAAATGTTCTAATATGTGAGAAAAACCAATATTCTGCAAGAGTTTCTTAGAGGATTGCTCTCTGGTATGTTCTACTAAAATGGTTGGAACACTGCAGATACCTTAGAGAACAATGGATTTCCATTACGAGACTCTGCTCTTCCAATGTTTTCAACTCCACACTGAATCAAAATGAGAAAAGGGAGGAAAAACACGACATGTTTTATTTTCCTTTTTTTTCAAAGAAATTGCTACAAAAAAATTCACACAGACACACACACACAATTCAATGTCTGACTTCAAGTGTTCACAGATTTGCTCAAGAGTGAAAAGCATCACGGGGCAGGGCTGTGCGTTGATGCTGTTATCATAAATTATTCCTCAACTCCTTCCCCTCCCTGTCACCTTCCCACAGGTGATTTGTTTTTGAATCCTTTTTGTGGCTACACTTGATGAAATTCTCAGTTGAAATCTGCTTACCATTCTTTTTTTATTCTATTTTATAATGCATAATTTTACAGACTCTCCCTAAGTACAATGTTGCTTTAAATACAGACCTTTTCATACTTGTTTTGATCCTGAGTGCAAAAATGAAGTAAATTAACTTATTGACTATAAAATGTATATTGGACCCAATTCAGAGTTGGGTTTTAAAATATATTCCTTTTTTTTTGTTTGTTTGTTTTTTGAGATGGAGTCTTGTTCTGTTGCCCAACCTGGAGTGCAGTGGTACTATCTCTGCTCACTGCAACCTCCACCTCCTGGGTTCAAGGGATTGTCCTGCCTCAGCTTCCTGAGTAGCTGAGATTACAGGCACCCACACCATGCCCAGCTAATTTTTGTATTTTTGGTAGAGGCAGGGTTTCACCATGTTGGCCAGGCTGGTCTTGAACTCCTGACCTCAAATGACCCACCCACCTCAGCCTCCCAAAGTGCTGGGATTACAGATGTGAGCTACCAAGTCTGGCCTAAAATATATTCTTATCGAGAAAAAGCTAGAGGAAAACATGGGAGGATTGTTTCAGTACCACCCCTATTTCCAGTTCCAAAAATATTCACTGCCTAATAGCTGAAATTGGTCTAATAATGATTTACTCAGATAGGATTCTTCTGTTTCCCTTTTCTTCTGGTAGCTTTTCAGTACTTGGTCATTTGTTTGTTTATTTATTTATTTATTGAGAAGGAGTCTCGATCTGTTGCTCAGGCTGGAGTGCAATGCCACAATCTCAGCTCACCACAGCCTCCACATCCCAGATTCAAGTGATTCTCCTGCCTCAGCCTCCTGAGTAGCTGGGCTTACAGGTACATGCCACCATGCCCAGCTAAATTTTGTATTTTAGTAGAGAGGGGGTTTTGCCAAGCTGGCCAGGCTGGTTTCAAACTCCTGACCTCAGGTGATCCACCTGCCTCAGCCTCCTGAAGTGCTGAGATTATAGGTGTGAGCCACCATGCTGGCCTCAGTTACTTGACCTTTTAGATTAGCATTTATACCAGGAGAGTGGCATGAGAAAAGCATTTACATCAGGAGACTGGATCTCAACTTAAGAGGCTGTATTCTCAAACTTCATAAAAAAGTCAGTTACAACAGGATAACTAATGTTGGCAAAGGACATTCTCCAGCAATGTTGGTGGGAGAGTCAGCGATACATTGACTAAAAAAATATGTAGCAACACTGAAATTCCACATGCACCTGTAGTCCAGCTACTCAGGTAGCTAAGGAGAGAGGATCACCCGAGCCCAGGATTTTGAGGTTTCAGGGAGCTATGACTGTGCCACTGAACTCCAGCCTGGTTGACAGAGCCAGATTTCATCTCTAAACAAATTTATAAAATCACAAAAAAGTTAAAATAAAAAAATTGTTTTCCAAACATATTGGTATTAAGCTATATTTTCACTGAAGTTTTAGCAAGTTCACAGTTAGTCAAGCTTATGATGAGCTACAGAAGTATCTTTAATGAAATCCATAGACAATGCTGCAACCACTTCTTAGCCAATTACAGTCTGCCTGCAAATCCTTTATCAGAACCACTGACAAGAAACTTGGGTGCTCCCTAGCTTCACCCATGTCTGATTGATTTCCAGCATGAAGATTCAAAATCCATGGGGGCTGGGTGTTGGCTCAAGTTCTTCCCCCACCCACTCTCTGCCCTGCCCTGCACCTGCTACCCAGTCCCAGAGAGGGTGAAGTCTCCTGCAGGCTGGGCCTCCGTCTATCACACATGGGGTGACCAGGGCCAGAAATGCTGGCAGAGAGAAAGGAAAGGGTTTCTTGGATACCAACGCTTCCATACTCCCCATAAAAATAAAGCTATATATTGGACACAGTGAGTTTTAAGCCAGCTCTCAGAAGCCAGGACATAGATGAAAAAATAGGTTTTCTCCACCCTGAATGACAATTCACATCCATCTCATATTACTAGACACCAAAGATGGTTTTTTTCTCACTCTGTTGCCAGGCTGGAGTGCAGTAGCACAATCTCAGCTCACTGCAACCTCAGCTTCCTGGGTTCAAGCGATTCTCCTGCCTCAGCCTCCCCAGAGTAGCTGGGACTACAGGCGCACACCACCATGCCCAGCTAATTTTTGTATTTTTAGTAGAGACAGCGTTTCACCATGTTGACCAAGATGGTCTCTATCTCTTGACCTCGTGATCCACCTGCCTTGGCCTCCCAAAATGCTGGGATAACAGGCATGAGCCACCGTGCCCGGCCAAAGATGGTATTTGTTATTTCAATAATCAGATTGATCACAACCCAGCAGCAAACAGTTAATTAAGTGAGTGCATAAAGGAGGTCAAGGAAATCACCACACACATTGCTTCCACATTCATTTCATGCTCTTCTCTTAAATTACAATGACTCCTGTATGCCTTGACACTCAACAAGAAGCCATGTAATAGCCTAAGTAAAGGTCACTATTAGGCAAAGTAAATAAATTATAAAAGAATAAACCATTTTCCTTTGGAATTAGTGAAAAGTACAATTCTTTTTTCTTAAAGAAGTGTAGTTGTTACTACTTTCAAGGAGCCCAGTAACTCAAACTAAACAAAACAATGTCAGCCACAGTGATCCCTGGGTCACCTGGTTCAATGAACACACAGGTTTCCTCTCCCATTGCTGACATGGAATTGACTCAATGTGTTGAGATTATTACTCAGATGATGTATTGTTCGGAAGATTGAAGACACCATACATGCAAACAAATATAGTAAACAATATTTCTGAATGATACATTTGATTTTTTCCTTCAATGTAAGCTTCCCTTAAAATAAAAAATGGGAAGAAACCCAGCCAAAGCTATAAGGTGCAGGACATTTTTGTGGATTATATTTTTTAAAAGTTCTGTGTAACTGAGTTTTATGAATCACATGATGACCTTTATCTGGAGGAAAATATCACCTTTGAAATACAAGTCCTACTCCTATGTCCTGGATAGTTTTGCCTAGATTTCCTTCTAGGGTTTTTATTGTGCCAGGTCTTATGTTTAAGTCTTTAATCCATCTGGAGTTAATTTTAGTGTAAGGTGTCAGGAAAGGGTCCAGTTTCTGCTTTCTGCACATGGCTAGCCAGTTTTCCCAACACCATTTGTTAAATAGGGAATCCTTTCCCCATTGCTTGTTTTTGTCAGGTTTATCAAAGATTGTATAGCTGTCGATACGTTGTGTTTCCTCTGGTGCCTGTGTTTTGTTCCATTGGTCTATATCTCTGTTTTGGTACCAGTACCATGCTGTTTTGATTACTGTAGCCTTGTAGTATAGTTTGAAATCCGGTATTGTGATGCCCCCTGCTCTGCACATGTACCCCAAAACCAAAAATGCAATAAAAAAAATTAAATTAAATTAAATAATTATGTAAATCAACCTAAAATATTTAAAATTCAAAGTTCTTAAAATTAAAATTCTTTAAAACTGTGTTTCTATTTAAAAAAAAAAAGAAAAGAAAAGAAATACAAGTCCTGTCTTAATAGTGGAAAGAATGGAAGCTTTATTCACTTGTCTCAAAACTCAAAACAGGTTTGTTGGTTGTTGTTTAGGCTGTTGGAGAAACAGCAGTGAGAGAAGCATTTCCAGAAGCCATTATCATAAAGCCATAGGACATCTTTGGAAGAGAGGAAACATTCCTTAATCATTTTTCAAGTATGTATTCTTTCTTAATGAAAAAATATATCCTTGGTCTGTCAATCAGAGAAAACTTAGCTTGTGCAACTTCAACCTGGTTAATCAGTATCCCTCTCTTCTCAGAAAGAAGGGCATTTAGGGTAAAACCTTAAAGATGACTGAATGTAAGTCTGATGCAGGGAGTTGGGGAGGAGTATTGCATGCAGAGGGAACGGTAGGTACAGGGGCCCAGAGGTGAAAGGGCATGTTGGATTCCATGTTCAGTTGAACCAGGTTTTCTCAGTAGTGGCAGTATTGACATTTTCAGCCAGATAATTCTTCATTATGGGGGCTGTTGAAGAATGTTTGGCAGCATTCCTGGCCTCTAGCCACTAGATGCCATTCATAGCACCCTCCAGTTATGACAACTGAAAATGTCTCCAGAGGGGTTGTCAATGTCCCCTGGGGGCCAAAATCACTATTACTACTATTGTTTTTGAAAACCAAAATGGCAGAATATTAGCAATTCCATGTGATACAGCTTAATAATTTGTGATGGTTAATAAGAGAGTTGGGAGGAGTGGTAAGAGACGAGTTTAGCAAGCTGTGGGCAAAGACAAGTCAGAAAAGCCTCAAGCTATCTGAAGGGAAGTACTTTCCTACTGTGGAAAATACTTGGATAGCAGGGATTATTTGAGCTCTTGAGAAGGCTCATTCTTCAAGAAGCTTTCTGCGAATAGATAATGCCATTATTTTAACTTTGTCACATTTCCTTTGTTGAGATCAGTGTGGCCTTCTTCCTTTCTTCCTCCTTCCTTCCTTTTCCCCTTCTTTCCTTTCTTCCTCCTTCCTTTCTTTTCCCCTTCTTTCCTTTCTTCCTGTCTCTCTGTCTCTCATTCTATCTCCTTTTCTTTTTCTTTTTTTGAGATGGAGTTTTGCTCTTGTTACCCAGGCTGGGGTCCAATGGCGCGATCTCAGCTCACTGCAACCAATGCCTCCTAGGTTCAGGCAATTCTCCTGCCTCAGCCTCCCAAGTAGCTGGGACCACAGGCATGCACCACCATGCCCAGCTAATTTTTTGTATTTTTGGTAGAGACAGGATTTCACCATGTTGACCAGGATGGTCTCGATCTCTTGACCTCGTGATCCACCTGCCTCGGCCTCCCAAAGTGCTGGGATTACAGGTGTGAACCACCGCACCTGGTCCTCTCCTTTTCAAGTATTACTTCAACATACATTATAATTTTTTATAGGTCTCAGATGTATCCAAAGGAATTATTAATGCAGTTAAGGACCCTGATGCCAGAGGGAAGACCTTTACTTCTGTTGGGTAAGTTCTTAGTTTTTGAATTTAAAATTGTGCTATTATAATGAAGGAATCAATATCTAAATTAGTTACTAAGAGATTTATTTGTTGCACTTTTACAATATCAGAATATTGCTTGCATTAAGTCAGAATTTGAGGGAACCTGAAATCCACTTTAATGAATAATTCTGTTATCAAAGTCTGAGAACCACTGCCTAAGACTATTATATTTACTTAGTTCAGTGACCCTTAGGGATGGTTTTGTATGACTCCAGTGATGTTTTTAATATATAAAAGAATATTGCTGTAAATTCTAAAACACAAACAGAACACCTTTAGGGAGTGAGTATGGTTATAAAACCACATTAATTTTGATGGATATCCCCAGAAGCTGAAAATGGGTGCTTTAGAGCACAATTACTAGTGCTGTGCAAGATTGATTATTTCTTTCTTTTTTTTTTTTTTTCTCTGAGACTCCAATGTGGAGTCAAGGCAGGAAACTTTATTGACAAAAAAAGGACTTAGTCAACACAGGAATTCTGGTGACAATAAGATGACAAAAATTTAAAAGTAACCAAGATAAGGCCCTCACTTCCCATAAATGCCTTTGCCCTCTCCAAAAGCCATGCTCTCTAACCACAAAAGTATCACACAATGTGGAATGACAGGCCTTCCACAAACTCCATCCTATCACAGAGACTACTGTGGTTTTGTAGCATCTCCTAGTTTTTCTTTTTTTTAAATTTTTTATTGCATTTTGGGTTTTGGGGTACATGAGCAGAACATGCAAGACAGTTGCGTAGGCACACACATGGCAGTGTGTTTTGCTTCCTTTCTCCCCTTCACCCACATTTGGCATTTCTCCCCAGGCTATCCCTCCCCACCTCCCCCTCCCACTGGCCCTCCCCTTTTCCCCCAATAGACCCCAGTGTTTAGTACTCCCCTCCCTGTGTCCATGTGTTCTCATTTTTCATCACCCACCTATGAGAATATGCGGTGTTTCATTTTCTGTTCTTGTGTCAGTTTGCTGAGGATGATGTTCTCCAGATTCATCCATGTCCCTACAAATGACACAAACCCATCATTTCTGATTGCTGCATAATATTCCATGGTGTATATGTGCCTTGTTTTTCCAATCCAGTCTATCATCAATGGGCATTTGGGTTGATTCCAATTGATTATTTCTTTTATGCTCCTTGCTAAAATTTGCTCTCAGAAAAAAATGGGTACAGTTAACGTATGTGATTTATCTGAAATTAGTAAATCATGTCACAGCTAGGCTTAAGGCTTTTTTTACTGAATTATCTAAAAGTCAAACTAAGACTTCATCTGCCAAGTTGAGAGGTATCAGTTCACCTAGTAAGTGGTTCAGAATCTTGTCATTCTGAGAAGCAACCTAATGATGCTTGGCATTCTATGACAGGTAAGGATAAGGCTCAAGATTTAAGGAATAGCCTAATTCCTAAGAAATATTTGCCTCTAGAGGGAAATGATACTCTTCTCTTTAAGCAAAGAGGCATGGTATATATTCCCAGAATTATGAATCTATGCATTGTTATGTTCTACTATTATTCTTTAGTAAACTGTTTTTTTTTTTTTTTCAGTGCAAAAAGCTCTGATTTCCATGTCAACTAGGAGCTGCAAAATGTATGTCTTCCTTTCAGTTCCCAGTTTGGCACATTAGCATGCAATCAGTTATATAGTCTAGGTAAGAATCACAAAAAATTATTCAATACACGTTTCATAAAATACTGAACACAAAAGACATTAGTTCCAATGAAGAGGTACATGGACTAGAATTTCAGGGAATAAATGAACAGAAATGGCTTTGTGAATTGTACTTGCTCCAGCTCTGGATGAGTTGAACATTTTCCTCTTTACCTTTGCCCATTCACTATCATCTTGTCTGGGCTCCAGTGAGTTATTCTTCTTCGGCATAGTGATGGAAAAATAATACTAGACATTACAGGGTAAATATTTTTCCTTGTAAAATAGTAGGTATGTATCAACACATTTCTTGTCTCTCCAGCCCCAGGAAAAAACTCCCTGATATTTTGAGGCTAAGGCAGAGGCTTAAGACTGTAATTTTGCTCCTAAGTTTTTTGTAGTTACTAATTATATTATCTTGGTCCATTCTATTTGTCATTCATTCATAAAATGCCTATTGATACACACTCATACACATGACCATGATAATGAATAAACACATTCAACAAAATTATGATGTGTAAGATCAGCATAGAAAAATCAATTTCCATATACTAGCAAATGAACAATTTAAAAATAAAATTAAAATAATTTTATTCACAACACATCAAAAATAACAGAATATTTAAGTATCAATTTAATAATTAAATTTATTATACCTAATAAGTAATAAGACATCTCATGTTTATGAATTGGATGAGTCAGTACAATTAAAATGATAATTTCCTTCAAATTAATCAACAAATTTAACTTAATTCTATCAAAATTCCAAAGGACTTCTTTGCAGAAATTGACAAATTGATTCTAAATTTATATGGTAATGGAAAAGATCAATAATAGACAAAACCATTATGTTTCATAGTTTCAAAACTTAATAGCTATAATTCTCAAGAGAGTGTGGTACTGACCTAAGAATAGACATACAGATGAATTAACCAGAATTGATAGTTCAGAAATAACTCATTTTTGAAAAAGGTGCTATGGCATTTCAAAGGGGAAAGGATAGTCTTTTCAACAAATGGTTTTGGAATATCCACATTAAAAAAAGATGAACTCCTATCTTGCACTGTACATGAAAATATTAAAATAATTCAGAGAATTCAGTGTAAGAGTTATGAAACCATAAAAATTTTGGAAGAAAAATAGAAAATCTTGTAGACCTTGGGTGCTATGGTGTCAAAAAAAAAAATGGATACGTTAGGCTTCACCAAAATTAAAACTCTAGTGTTTCAAAACACACCATTAAGAAAATGACAACTCAAGTCACAGAGCGGGGGTGGGAAATATTTGTTAATTACATATCTGATAAAGGAGTATTATTCAGAATATACAAAGAACTATTAGAACTCAGTGAGAAGACAACCTAGTTTTTAATATGAGCAAAAGATATGAATAGGCATATCACCCACAGGAGTTATATTTAATGGCTAAAAAGCACATGAAAAGATGCTCCATATTACTAGTGAAAATGCAGATCAAAACTATCATGAGATACCAGTTCACAGAGAGAAAATAACAAATGTTGATGAAGACATAGAGTAATAGGAACTTTAGACATTGCTGGTAGTGGTGTAAAACTGTACAGCCACTTTAGAGAACAGTTTAATATCTCCTTGAAAAGTTAAGCATAAATTTACCACATGGCCTATCAATTTTATTCCTAGACATTTAACCAAAAGAAATGAAAATTCTTTTCATTTGAACATCCATGTGCAAATCTTTTTTACACAAAATGTTCATAGCAGAATTATCATAAATGTTAAAAATTGAAACCATCCCACATTCTTATCAACTGATGAAAGGAGAAATAAAACATGGTAGCACTCCCATATAATTGAAGTTCAACAATAAAAGGAATGAAATATTGAAGTTACATGTATGAACCTCAAAAACATGGTAAATGAAAGAAGCTGGACAGAAGAGATCACATGTTGTATGATTCCATTTATATGAAATGTCTATAAAAGGCCAACTGTAAGTAGATTTGTGATTGCCTGAGCCTGGGAGTAAAATGCAGGATTAAATGGCTGTGGAGGATCTTATCAGAGTAAGGAAAAATATTCTAAAACTGGTTTCTGGTAATGATTGTGCAACTTGGTAAATGTATGAAAAAATCATTGCATTACATGATTAAAATGGATGAATTTTAATGTATATAAATTATACCACAATAGTGAATAGCATGGGTAAGATTTCGGCCTTTGTGGAGCTTATAGATTAATGATGAGACACATAAGTAATAATTAAGCAAAATAATTAAAATAAGTGACCAAAAAGGAAAGTCCAGTGAATTGGAAAGAAAAATCAGAAGGAGGGAGTTGATAACTGTATTGGGTACAGCCAGGAGGTTGAGTGGGTGGCAGCATGGAGATTCATGGGCACCTTAGTGACCTTAATAAACTCATTTGAACATTGGGCAAAGGGTGATCGGATTGCAGTGCGATTTGAATGGCACGATAAGAAGTGGAGGCAACAGTTAGGTAACTATTTGGAGAAGTTTGTAAAAGGAAGCAAAGGAAAGGGGCAAAGAGAAGGCCGTGAAACATGAGTCTTGTCAAGGGAGATGCCACCTGGATTTGGAAGATTGTACATCTTGTTTATAAATTGCTAAGAATGGTCCAGGAAAGAGATAAGAGTTGATGACTCAGGAGATGGGGGCACCAAGAAAGGAGCAGAGTCCTTTAGGAATTGAGAGGAGTTGGATACAGAGTGCAAACGAGGGTTTGACTTTTGCAAAATGACAAATTTTTCTTCAATTTTAATGAGGAAAAGAATTCAGGATATATGCAGATGCAGGTAGGTTTGGATGTGAGAATTGAAAGGAGTATCCAGCCGGGCTCGGTGGCTCACCCCTCTAATCCCAGCACTTTGGGAGGCCGAGGCGGGTGGGTCACGAGGTCGAGAGATCGAGACCATCCTGGTCAACATGGTAAAACCCCATCTCTACTAAAAATACAAAAAATTAGCTGGGTATGGTGGCGCGTGCCTGTAGTCCCAGCTACTCAGGAGGCTGAGGCAGGAGAATTGCCTGAACCCAGAAGGCAGAGAGGTTGCGGTGAGCTGAGATCGCGCCATTGCACTTCAGCCTGGGTAACAAGAGCAAAACTCCATCTCAAAAAAAAAAAAAAAAAAAAAAGAAAGAAAGAAAAAAGAAAATAAAAAAAGGGAGTATCTTTTCCTGTTACAATTTGAGGTTAGCTAAAAGGCAGAATGGAGTGGGTCAAAAAAAGTGTGCGAAAAAGCTGAGGACAGAGAAGATACAAAGTATCCCCTGGGAGAATAGCAAAGAGCTTTTCCTAGGAGAACATGTAGGGTTGCCCAGCCGAACGGTGTGTTTTATTTGAAATTACTGAGAAAAACTATAAGGTGAAGTCAATTCGCTCAATTCCATTTATTCTATAGTTTTGTCTTTCTGGGGTTTCAGGCTCAGAGAAGGCAGATGTTTGGGTTAACAAGAGTAAGGATTTTGCCTGGCAATTTTAGTGGTTACAGGCCTGGGAGACAAGGTTTTGCTGAGGATATTTGCAGAGGAAATAACTAATGCGGAGCCATGAAATCTAAGCTGGGAGGGATGCAGGCTTCAATGTATCTTTCTCTTTGAGCAAGGGCACTTAAACTAGTCTTCCAGTTGCACTTAATGGAACACAAAGTGCTTCAGAACAGCTGAAGAGGAAACCTATTATGTAGAATTAGTTTACCCATGGTATCAGTTTTTTTTTTCTCTTTTTTGAGACGGAGTTTCACTCTTGTTACCCAGGCTGGAGTGCAATGGCGCGATCTCGGCTCACTGCAACCTCTGCCTCCTGGGTTCAGGCAATTCTCTTGCCTCAGCCTCCTGAGCAGCTGGGATTACAGGCACGCGCCACCATGCCCACCTAATTTTTTGTATTTTTAGTAGAGACGGGGTTTCACCATGTTGACCATGATGGTCTCGATCTCTTGATGTTGTGATCCACCCACTTCGGTCTCCCAAAGTGCTGGGATTATAGGCGTGAGCCATTGTGCCCGTCCATGGTACGTACTAGTTTTGTTAGTCATCGTAAAAATTCAAGTTGTTCTTGGTGTAGCATGTATTATATGTTCTGTAATGATCCTTACAAATCCTTTTGGAATTTGTAGAAATGTACTTTAAAACCTTTGTCTGATATTTCCCCTAGCTGACAGTTTCTTGTTTTTTTTTGTTTGTTTGTTTTGAGATGGAGTTTCGCTCTTGTTACCCAGGCTGGAGTGCAATGGCGCGATCTCGGCTCACCGCAGTCTCCGCCTCCTGGGTTCAGTCAATTCTCCTGCCTCAGCCTCCTGCGTAACTGGGATTACAGGCATGTGCCACCATGCCCAACTAATTTTTTGTATTTTTAGTAGAGACGGGGTTTCACCATGTTGACCAGGATGGTCTCGATCTCTTGATGTTGTGATCCACCCACCTCGGCCTCCCAAAGTGCTGGGATTACAGGCTTGAGCCACCGCACCCACCCAGTTTCTTGTTTTTTAGTAAAGTATGTCAGGATAGGCTGGGCGCGGTGGCTCACCCCTGTAATCCCAGCACTTTGGGAGGCCAAGACGGGCAGATCACGAGGTGAAGAGATTGAGACCATCCTGGCCAACATAGTGAAACCGTCTCCACTAAAAATACAAAAAAATTTGCGGGCGTGGTGGCGCAGGCCTGTAGTCCCAGCTACTCAGGAGGCTGAGGCAGGAGAATTGTTAGAATGCGGGGGGGCAGAGGTTGCAGTGAGCCGAGACTCTGCCACTGCACTCCAGCCTGGCGCCTGCCATAGAGTCCCTCTGTCTCAAAAAAAAAAAGTATGTCATGATAATGAGGTTCTCACTGAATTAACTTCACTCAGCTCTTGGTTGTCATAGATTTTATTTCATGAAACACAAGTGAATTAGGAGATGGGTGAAGAAATACCAAAATATATTATAAGCAATGGCACTTATTAATGCTAGGTTAAAATTGTACAGAACTATTCAGATTAATGAAATAGAGCAGAAAGTCCAGAAACAGTCCCATTGTATGTAAGGACATAGTATGTGATAAGGGTGATGTTTTGGTATAGGGAAAGAGCAGTAGAGTAAATGATTCTGTAAATAGCATTGAAGCAATTGGCTTACATTTTGGGAAAATATAATTACATGTTTGTCTTATATCATGTACAAAAATATGTCACAGAATGAACTTTATAGTAAAAAAATCTTTTTATAAGCTTTAGACAAAATGTGGAAATCTATGTCGCTGCAGAGGAATTTTCTAAATATGAAACCAAGCCATAAAGAAAATCAGTAGTTTCGGTTATTAAACTATTAAAATTTTATGTGCACAAAACACTTTAAATAACACTAAAGGTAAAATACAATCAATAAAAGTTATTTTCAACAATATCACTAAAACATAGAGAATTCTTACAAATTATTTGTATAGACAGGGACTCCGGGAGGAAAGAAAGGATAAATATATAAATGACCAAAAATGCATGAAGAAATAACCTCTCATATTAAAAACATAATAATTAAAACATATGATACCTTTAATGTAACAGATTGGCAAAATTTTTGTTTTATTATGACAACTCATTTTGGATGGAGGGGCCATTCTGACTAACATTTTGTATAAATTGATAGAACCATTTTGAAAAGCAGTTTAGAAGTATTCAGTAAAAGCTTTAAAATTTCAAAGTCTACATTGAGCCAGTTCCACTTCTATAAATATATTCTAAATGCATAATCATGGATAAGTACAAATATTTATTATAAGAATGTTCAATAAAGCATTATTTTATAAAAAATTTTTAATAGCAAATATCTCAAAACTGGCAATTAATAAAATAATTGGGATTACATGGATTGTAATATGTGCAGTCATGAAACATGTAATAATATATTTAATGATGTGGAAAGACAATTGTGATATGGTGTTAAATGAAAAGTCATTACAGCATAGAATGGATTGTGTGTTTATAAAAACAAAAATAATGTGTGCATGTAAGGGGATGAGAAGGATATAGATCAAGTATATTAATTGTCTTTCATAATGGAATTATGGGTGATTTTTCTTTGTGCTAATCTGTATTTACTACAGTAAATATATGTTTCATTTTTTTATGAGAAAAATGCTATTTTGTTATAAAGGAAAATTTGTGAGAAGTATACAGCTGAAAGAACTGTGTCTTTTTGTAGGCCAAATCAGTACCTCCTCTTTGAGCTGGTGAAGTACATCTATGCTGTGACTCACAGATTATTCCTTCCATACCCCATATCACGTTTTGCCTATTGGTAAGTAGAGTTCTCCTTTTGTGCGACTTCTGAAAAAGCTAACTCCACACAGTTTTTCTTAACGTTCTCCCTTAGGGTTATAGGGTGTGTGAAGGACTAGTCTCCACCTCTCCTAGTATTATGACATTAGCTCAAGGAAGAAGCAGAAATAAATTAATGCCAGTAAGAAAAATGTGTTGGGAGATTAAATCTGCAGTCCTTCACTTTTTCCAATTTAAAACCATTGAGTTTAATTTTGGAGAAATCACTTGCTTGGCACATACATAAGAGGCAGTCAGATTCCCCTGTGTTTCATGTTACTCATTATTAAATCAACCTGATCATGCTACTGGGGAAGGGAGTCAGGCTAATACAGACTTGGATTTGTGGTTGCCTTTTCTTCTTTCCTTGCTTCTTAGTTCACTTCTTCCCTTTGTGGGTTAAATATCTTTGACTTGGCTGGGAGTGGTGGGTTATGCCTGTAATCCCAGCACTTTGGGAGGCCAAGGTGGGCCTATTGCTTGAGCTCAGGAGTTCAAGACCACCCTGGGCAATATAGCAAAACCCCATTTCCACAAAAAATACCAAATTAGATGGATGTGGTGGGCATATGCCTATAGTCCCAGCTACTGGGGTGGAGTGGGGGATGCAAGAGGAGCTGAGATTGTGCCACTGCACTCCAGCCTAGGTGACAGAGCAAAACCCTATCTCAAAATGAAATCTTATACTTATCATGTCACACCGTAGTTGTCTGGTTAAGGGGACTGTCACATCCATTGTGTCATAAACTGATCTTCATTTGGATTTTAATGTGTTCATTCAACAAGTATTTACTGAATGCCTACTATATCTTAATGTATTAGGTACTCAGAATGTTACAATAAACACTCAAAAATCTTATGGTCTAAGAGGGGTACCAGAAAAATAGACCATTAGAATGCAGCATGATAAAACAGTATTCATTGAGTGTTGTACCTTTCAGCCTATTTACTTGTCTCCTTTAATACTTACAGCTATCTATAAAGTAAGGAGAGTATATGGAGTGAGTAGAAGAGGAGGCCACAGAGTAAGAAACTTACAAGAAAGCTGAAAAAAAGTGATCAGACATTTAGGTGGGAAATGAGAGTTTGAAATTCTAGGTACCAAAGGGAAGTGAGTGCTTTGAGGAGGAATCGATGTTTTAAGAAGGGAAACATTGCCATTCATTCACATGTATCTCAAGCCCCTGGAACAATGCCTGGTACACAGTAGGCACTCTGTTAATATTGGTAGAATGAAGTCTTGAAGAAATCAAATAAGATAAAGGACCCAAAAATGTCTACAAATGACCATTTGTGACCATGGCTTCAGAGCCGTGAAAGGGATGTAAGCCAGATTGCAATGAGGTGCTTTCATGGTTGAACATACAACTGAGTTAGAGTTGGCATATGTATGCCCATGACTTGGCCTCCCGAGGACACTAGAATAGAGACCTGAAGTGATCTGTTAGCACAGAATGATGGCACAGAGAGTTATAGATTTGTAAGGAGAGTTTTGTTTTTTTTTTTGAGACGGAGTTTTGCTCATGTTACCCAGGCTGGAGTGCAATGGCCTGATCTCGGCTCACCACAACATCCACCTCCTGGGTTCAGGCAATTCTCCTGCCTCAGCCTCCTGAGTAGCTGGGATTACAGGCACACGCCACCATACCCAGCTAATTTTTTGTATTTTTAGTAGAGACGGGGTTTCACCATGTTGACCAGGATGGTCTTGATCTGTTGACCTCGTGATCCACCCGCCTTGGCCTCCCAAAGTGCTGGGATTACAGGCGTGAGCCACCATGCCTGGCCAAGAGTGTTTTTATTAAGCTATGTTAGCCTAGTAAATTTTCTTTTTCTGCCATTGAGGAATCTGAAGCTTACATGTTGCTGGAGAAATTCTAGCCAGCTTCTTTATTCATTTATTTATACTATGCATTAGAATGGTTTTCTAGCTTTTTAAATAGCTGTGGAACCTTGTGTTCACTGAGTTTTTACATCAAGGCCTGCTGGGTAAATCCAGTAAAAGAACTGGTCTAGTTGCAGTGATGGCTGATACTCAGCACATATACTCTCAAACTCTTGGCCCCCAGGATTCCATGGGGCACCAGAAAATTCCCAGCATCCCTCAGATGCTAGTTTAAAACTACTACTGGCAAAGTGGTGCACACCTGTAGTCCCAGCTACTTGGGAGGCTGAGGTGGGAGGATTACTTGAATTCAGGAGTTTGAATCCAGCCTGGACAACATAGTGAGACCCTGTCTATGGAATAAAAAAAAAGGAAAGAAAAGAAAAACCCACTGGCCTGAGGTAACTGATGATGGAAGCTCACGTAGACTTTAAGAAGCCCTTCAGTTTTCATTAGCAGTGAAGAGATGGCAGTCATCAAGATAGGTGGCCTTTCTTGTCCTGGGTTTATATTGTCATCCTGATTTAAACCATAGATTTTAGGTTTTTCCTTGCTTTTGGATTTTTTTTTTCCTCAAGGGCCCCAGCTTTTAGGGATTATATTTTGTATTTTACACACCATTTAGCTTGCCCTGTGTCTGTAAAGGCAGCATATTTGAATATCTGAGGTTTAGATTAGATTGCATTTCACAGATTGGTTGAATATTGGAGTTTCTCTGTTTTGCTGTTTCTTGGTTTCATTTCATTTTAAGTTTAAGATCTGCTGTTTCTTTGGAGGAGAACAAGGTGTGCTAACAGTTACAGCAGCCAGCTAGGTTGGCTTGAGAGGAGAAGGACTGAAAAGCAGAGGTAGTCTCCGAGGTCAAGGTGCCAGGATGTTGGTTATTTTCTTAAAAACCAACCCACCAAAAGAAAACCACCATTCAGACTGTTCTACAGCAGTCTGTCTTTTTGTGGTTCTTACAGGCTAGCTTAAATTTTGGGTAGAGAGATGCTTATCACATTGCCATATATCCATTTCTTTTCCAGATGGATAGTAAGAATATTTGAAGTAAGTCCATTTGAACCATGGACAACAAGGGATAAAGTGGAGCAAGCAAGTGTATGTGTGGAAAGCATCCACCTGGGCAGACAAGAAGTTAGACTGATTTTGGTTTGCCTGCTTGTTTCCCTGCTCTTGTCTGTTTGCCGTTCTTGCTGTTTGTGGTCAACCCCTCTGCTAGCACTGAAACTCATCCAGCTGCCCTACTCCAGGGGGCGGCTCCTCCACACCTGCCCATCATTAACAATGTTTCTTTCTCTGCTGGATCATTCCCATCAACACGCAAAAATGCCTAATATCTCCTCTGCCAAAGCCTCTGTTCCTCCCATCACCCTTCTAGCTACTTTGCTGTTGTGTCCCTTCACATCCCAACACCTCCTCACATCCTGATGAAACTGTTGCCAGTTTTCTCATCCTTTCCTTAACCTATTTCAGTCAGACTTTTATTCCCATTTGTCTCCTAAACCTCTTTTCAAGGCACCCAGTGTCCGTGCTGCCACACCCAGTAGTCAGTTCTCAGACCTCATCTCATGTTCCTGTGCATTTGCTGCTAGGGAAGATGCAAAATAAAGTGGTAATACTATACCAAATACTATACCATATCTACCTTTGAAGACCTATGGACCATATATTGACAAGCAGCAGCCAGATTGTTCCCTGAATGCTACCTAAAAGCTAAAGTGTAGAGAATATGAGAAACAGTGCTTAGGGAACATGTGGAAGTCAGCAGCTCTCATACTTTCTTCAGACCGGCTGTGTCTGGAGAGCTGAGGCCATTTCTGTGATGTCCCTTCTGTGGTTTTGGAAGATCAGGCAGGATAACTGGTGGTCAGCCACTTCAGTTTATCTCACTCTAAAGTGTCTCTTACATTAATAATGGAGAACATGCTGATACAGTGGGAAGCGTGGGTTTTGAATTTGGTTTGCAAACTGGCTTATAGAACTTTGCTAATGTGCCACATTTTCCCAATCCAGTCTATCATCGATGGGCATTTGGGTTGGTTCCAGGTCTTTGCTAATGTAAACAGTGCTGCAATGAACATTGGTGTGCATGTGTCCTTATAGTAGAACGAGTTACAGTCCTTTGGATATATACCCAGTAATGGGATTGCTGGGTCAATTGGAATTTCTATTTCTAAGGCCTTGAGGAATTGAAAAAAAGAAAAAAGAAAAAAAAAAAGAACTCTGGTAAAAGAATTGCTGACTTTCAGGTGGGTAGGATGAGGGATTGATGCTGCTGTATGTGCAGATGGATTCCATTATGTGCTTTTGAATAATCCGAGATCTCTGCAAATTTTACAGTTCATTGTCTTTTCCTAAAAACAAGATGGGTTTAGTTTTCTAGCTCTACAGTGAACATTAGTCAACCCAGGTTGAGTATAGCTAGAGCAAAAAGAGGTAATTGGGGTTTTTTTTTAATGGGTGAGGAACAAATGCTGTGTTATCTCCTAAATTCAAAGTTAAAATTGAGTTAGAAAATAGGGACCTGAGAGAACTGAGGAATGGACTAGCTCTGCTTTAGCCCTGATTTTATTCCTAAACCCTCCTGTTAAGCCTCCTCTGGCAAGTGTGATGACTTGTGCTTCCCTGCCATAGATTTATTTCTGTGGAAATCTGTATATAGAATGGCTCATGTAGTGCCAACATCCTGTGCTCGTGGCTATGACTGGGAACCTCGATCTGATACTTGGTGATCTTGCCCTTTTTTTGTCTTAAGCCCTCATTCTTTGTCCTGCTTTTATAGTGATTTGCATGAATCGAAAATTGCCACATATTCTTTGAAAGTAATTAAGTCTCAATAATAGGACTTATGCCAGCTTGAATGTTTAAATGCATGCTGGGGTTTGAATCTCTACATTCTCTATACTTAATTTTAAGTCTTTAAGAGCTTGAAGACCTTATTCTAACCTTATTAGTTTGTACCTCCTGTTTGTTTAACAAAATACGTTAGCATGGGTAATCTGTAAATAGCAGAGGTATATTTCTCACAGCTCTGGAGGCTGGAAAGTTCAAGATCAAGGCGCCAGTGGGTTTGGTGGTTGGTGAGGGCTGTTCTTTCTGCTTCAAAGATGGTGCCTTCAGGCTGTGTCCTCATACGGTGGACATTGGCAGAAGGGCAAAAAGGGACTAGGGCACTCTCTTCAGCCTCTTTATAAGAGCACCAGTCCCATATATGAAAGCAAGCCCTCATAACCTAATCACCTCCTAAAGACCGCCCCACCTTAATACTGTTGCATTGGGGACTAAATCAGCATGAATTTTGGAGGACACAAACATTCAAACCATAGCACTGACTAAGGAAACAATTTGGCCATCCTAAGCTAGTGGGTATCACCCTCTCAGTGTATGGAAATTGCATATAACCAGGAACTAGGAGCTGGGCATAAGATCTGGGTCACTCATATCCAGGGGGATTCTCTTCCTAAGGAGGGATGAGCTGAATCTCCATTTATAGGAGCTGTCCCCATGGAGACTTGAAGCCATACACTTCTCAGGATTCAGGTTGCACATTACCTGATTGTCACAGTTGATTTGAGCCTGCAAGACTGTAAACCCATCCCGTTATCATGTTTTCATTCCTCATGCACGTACATTTATCATTAAACCTTTGTGATTCAGCAAATCTATTTACCTTCTGATTCTATTTTAAATTCCTTTCATGTTCTTCCTTGGCCCTCCTGTGTATATCCCTCAGCTTTGCTAGGCCTTAAGATCATCTCACACTCTTCATCATAATAATAAAAATAAATTCTGTGATGGAAGCATATATGGGAATATATGTAAGATCTCTGAGAAGATAAAGAACAGTCTCTGAAAGGATTAGGAAAAACTCCATAGAAAATGGATTTTTAAAGCTACAACTTGATGTTAACCTGCTGAAATGTGTGTGGAGGAGGGTTAGGAGGAAGCAAGCATTCATGTGAAGAGAACAGCACAAGCAATTGCAGTGGGTCATGAGTGAGTGGGCGGTTATGAGTGGGAGACAGAGCCAGTGAGTTGGGAGGGGCACAGGTGAGTTTAACCTTTACCTTGGAGGCGATGTAGAGCAGGTGAGTTCCATACAGATTTGGCTTTGAATATGAGTTCCACTGCTTCTCAGTTATGAGATTGGACAAGGCACTTGACTTCTTTTTGTCAGCCTCATTTTTCTTGTTTATAAAATGGAGGTGATAGTAGTAACTACATGATGGGATTGTATTGAGAAATTAAACGAGATCATGCATGTAAACTGCTGGCTGAGCCCTGCGCACCAAAGAACTAAGTAAATCTGAGCCATTATCATTTAAGTAGGGAGCATCATGCCTGACTGAGTCCATACATTTGTTTCTTGACTTCAAATAGCTGCCATTCCTGAGAGGGAGGGATTCCTATTTTCTAAATGATGGAAACAGGGACTTACAGAAGGTAAATTGCCACTTTCCGACCTGGATCTATCTGGCTACAAAACTGATACCTTGTTCCAGGAAGGATTTAAGGATGCTCAGGAGGAAGACATTCCCAGAGTTACACTCCAGAAGATCAAGGAGTGAATGGGAGATGTAGTGGAATGGAGGGCATATTTGAAGAAACCTTTCCTGTGAAGGAAAATCCAAGACAGAATGATGTAAGGAGACACTTTAACTTGAAAAGATTCTTGTGAGAGAAGGAAAGGGGCTTTTGCAATAGAGAGAGACTAGAACAAAGTTGGAACCCAACTTCATGGAAGCAGAGGATGGTGGGGTTTTCAAGGGCTGAGATAGTGTAAAAGTACTGGGGACAAGAGGCCATCTGGATCCCATGATGGCCAGGGTGAGGGGGTTCATGGGTCATCTGTCTTTGCTGATTGGCTTTATCCAAAGGAAGAGTAAACATCCTTAGGAAGTAGTCCTGCAGCGTGGAGCAAGATGCCCACCAAAGTTAGGCACATCCCACAGAACATGGAAGAAAGGGGTGCTATTTCCTTTTGTCATGACATTTCAGAGAATGGTTCCCCTGGGTCCTTGAGAAAGGCATTCCTGGGTTGTAAGAAGGCTAAGGAGGCCGGGCACAGTGTCTCAAGCCTTTAATCCCAGTACTTCGGGAGGCCGAGGCAGGTGGATCACGAGGTCAAGAGATCAAGACCATCCTGGTCAACAAGGTGAAATCCCATCTTATTAAAAATACAAAAATTAACTGGGCATGGTGGCGTGTGCCTGTAATCCCAGCTACTCAGGAGGCTGAGGCAGGAGAATTGCCTGAACTCAGGAGGCGGAGGTTGCAGTGAGATGAGATCGCTCCACTGCACTCCAGCCTGGGTAACAAGAGCGAAACTCCATCTCAAAAAAAAAAAAAAAAACCAAGAAGGCTAAGGAAAGATGTATGTCTCAAAGGGGAACAGAAATAATTTGTAATTTTAAGTTTTCTGAACAAAATGCTCTGAGGGAAGTTGGGGTCTAATGTTAGTGATGTAGTTTGGAAGCCCTCACCCAAATCTCATGTTGAAATGTCATCTCCAGTGTTGGAGTTGGGGCTTAGTGGGATGTGATTGGATCCTGGGGTAGATTTCTCATGAATGGTTTAGTCCATCTTCTTGGTACAATCCTCAAGATAGTGAGTTCTAGCAAGATCTCATCATTTAAAAGTGTTAGGCACCTCTCCTCACCCCTTGCTCCTACTCCTGCTATGTGAGATGCTTGCTCCCCTTTCACCTATTGCCATGACTAGAAGCTTCCTGAAGCCTCCCCAGAAGCAGATGCCCATGTTATGCTTCCTGTACAGCCTGAAGAACTATGAGCCAATTAAACTTTTTTTCTTTATAAGTTACCTAAGCTCAGATTTTTTTTATAGCAATACAAGAATGGCCTAATAGAGTTAGGAAGAAGCCTGTCCGAAGTACAGTCAGGCTGAGGGGAGCTTTAAGGCCATCTTGATGGGGGGAAGTCTTTTAGTACCCTAATGCAAGCAGATGTTGGCAGAGAGGGAGAGCATAACTTGTGGTGCTTGGGGTGCCTGGCCCTAGAGGGAACAGAAGGGCCAGAATCCAGAGCACAAGTGGGATTGTATGGGCTGACAAGTAAAAGTATATGATAGCAATAGTGTATGATAGCATGTGTGTAAGTCCATTCTGTATTGCCACAAAAGAATACCTGAAGTTGGGTAATTAATAAAGGGGTTTATTTGGCTCACTGTTTTGCATCCTCTACAAGCATGGCACTAGTGTCTGCTTGGCTTCTGGTGAGGCCTCAAGAAGCTTTTACTCATGGCAGAAGGAAAGGGGAGCCAGTGTGTCACATGGCAAGAGAAAGAGCAAGAAGTGGGGATGGTGCCAGGCTCCTTTTAACAACCAGATCTTACATGAAACTCGTTACCACTGGTAAGGCACAAAGCCATTCGTGAGGCATCCTCACCCATGGCCCAAACACCTCCAAGCAGGCCCCACTTCTAACATTAGGGATCACATTTCCCATGAGATTTGGAGGGGACACACATTGAAACTATATCAGCATATTAAACAAAACCATTCCTCATGTGGTCAAAGTACAAACTATTTTTTGTTTTTGTCTTTTTTTGTTGTTATTTTGTGATGGCGTCTTGTTATATTTTGCCCAGGCTGGAGTGCAGTGACATGATCTCAGCCTCTGCCTCCCAGGTTCCAGCGATTCTCCTGTCTCAGCCTCCCAAGTAGCTGGGATTACAAGCATGTGCCACCGCGCCCAGCTAATTTTTGTATTTTTAGTAGAGACGGGGTTTCACCATGTTGGCCAGGCTGGTCTTGAACTCCTGACCTCAGGTGATCTGCCTGGCTCGGCCTCCCAAAGTGCTTGGATTACAGGCATGAGCCACCGCACCTGGCCAGGACTTTATTTTTTATCACTAAGCTTTCCTTTAAAATCTCTGTGCTAGGCCAGGTGCTGTGGCTCACGCCTATAATCCCAGCACTTTGGGAGGCTGCGGTGCAAGGATAACTTGAGCCCAGGAGTTTGAGACCAGCCTGGGCAACATAGTGAAACCCCATCTCTTTAAAAAAATGAAATAAAATCTCTCTATGAGAATATAAGGCACTAGAAGCAGGAATTTTTATCTGTCATGTTCACTGCTATGTCCCCAACACCTAAAACAGTGCCAGGCATCTGTTGAATAAATGAATGAATGAGGTGGGAAGTCTTTCCTTACACTTAGATGAAAACTCCATCATTCCCCAAATTGTCTGGTCTTGTTCAGGTAATTATTTCAATTCTATAATAAAATCTTAAGTTATAATATGCTCAGTTTGATAATTAGGATGCCCAGTGTTGTATAATAATTAAAGCCTTAAATTTCCTTTCTCCCCTACGGCTGGGGTCAAAGAAGACCATGTGGCTGGCTGCTTTTCTGTATTTTCATTTATCTCCACCCCCAGTTTACCAGCAGTGGCTATCCTCTCTCCCAGACTGGGCCAGGGGTCAGAAGGGTAGTCTTACAAGGCAAGGGTCTTTGCTGGCAGATGTTCTGGGCCTTCTTGACAGCAGGTGTTTAAAGCTGAATCGGGTTGTAGTTTCAGGAAAGTGATGTTTTGGGATGGTAACTGAAGTAGATGTTGAAGATAAAGTATCATATTAATAAAACATTTCCCATTAGCACCTTGGCACAAATTAAAACTAGCTGTACCTCACTGATAAGGACCTGGATGGTCCAGTAATGATGAATGATTTATCGGGAGTAGGGGGTGCAGGGGGAATTGGGTGGAAGCAGTAGTAACAAATTCAAATTAAGGAGTAGTCATAAGGTAATTATTATCTAGTCTCACCTCCACATTTTATAATTGAAGAAATCGAATAAAACAAGAGGAGAAGTAACAGCTTTATAGCATGTGGTTGGGGAAAAACATATCTTTTCTGGGGCTAGACAGTCCATAAATAGGAGTTGGAAATGGAAGTGTAGGGGAAAATTCCATTGTAGTTCAGTGGAAAACTGCATTGTCTGGAGGCTAGACTCTGGACTAAGACATTTCTTTCCTGGCTGTCTGATTTTGATTCTATGGGAGCTATCTAAAACTCTGTAAGCTGTAGGTAACTGATAGCAGAGCAAAGTAATTCTTGTCCATAGATGTGTAAACCATGTCTTAGTGCAGAGTCAGCCTACTTCCCTTCCCCAGTTTTGCTTCTATTAGCACATTTATTTCAGTAATTTTGATCTTTGGATTCTACTTGGACATTCCTCACTAAAAAATTAAATAAAATTTTTGGCATGTGCTCTTCTTTTGCATCTGTTTGAGTTGCAATTTTTACCTTTATTTCAAAATTATCCTTTTTTTTTTGAGATGGAGTTTCACTCTTGTTACCGAGGCTGGAGTGCAGTGGCGCAGTCTCGGCTCACTGAAACCTCTTCCTCCTGGGTTCAGGCAATTCTCCTGCCTCAGCCTCCCGAATAGCTGCGATCACAGGCACGTGCCACCATGCCCAGCTAATTTTTTGTATTTTTAATAGAGACGGGGTTTCACCATGTTGACCAGGATGGTCTCTATCTCTTGACCTCATGATCCACCCGCCTCGGGCTCCCAAAGTGCTGGGATTACAGGCTTGAGCCACCACGCCCAGCCCAAAATTATCCTTTAACCAAAGGGACAGTGGTGAACTAGCCAGCCAGTGCTGCTCACTCTCAGTAATTTTTACCAGGGAGTGTCTGGTAACCCTTGGAAAAAGAGTCCATTTTTCCAAGGGGACATCTGGATCTAAGAAGTGCTGTATGCTGACCTGAAGTTGATCAAGTACTCCTCATACATTTTCTCATTTTCACCACAGCCTTGTGAGGTAGATACTGTCATGCCATTTTATGGGACAGCCACAAATAGGCCAAGCATCAGAGAGTAAATGGCAACAGCAGGACCAGATCCAGGTTTTCTGTCTAGTGCAGTTTTTCTGGGAGCAGTGAGAGGTGGAGGAGGAATCTAAAGGGCTTGCTTTACAATTTTGCCTGGAGCCAGTCCACACCAGAGCCATGTGAGGTCACAAGAAATGCAAGCTGGGAAACAGAGTGAGATGGGGTATTTATAAAGAAGGTTCCATAACCCTCCATGTACTCCAAGTAACCTTGGATATGAGTTCCGTTTGGCTTTTTTGTTTTGTTTTGTTTTGTTTCCAAGCAGGTTTTTAAAGGCAAAAGGGGGAACAAGGCATGCGCTGATACAAAGTTATTTGTCAGGAATTCTCATTGGTTTATAGAAATAACATTGGTTAGTGATTGGCTGTACATGGTTGAATTACAGAGTATGAGCTATGGTGTTCAGCATGTGGCACTGTTAGATTATAACTACTTGTGTTAGTTGGTCTAGAATCCATACAGCAGGCAGCTTCAGGAGGTGGTTACTTAGCTCAAGGCAGGTGAGTGGGACATGACTGCTGTCTCATTTCAAGGGCTCTCTGAGCCAGGTCAGTTAGAGCAGGTTCACATTCCTCAGATAAAAGTTTATTTGGTTTCTCATTTAAATAATTTTTATCAGTGATTACTGGGTTTTGAAGCCTAATAACTTAGATTCTTTCTCTAGGAGAGTCTGAATCTAATGGTTGTAAACCAAAATAAAAACAAAACAGTAAATAATTAGTAGGAAAGCTGGTGGGATCAGAGGGTAGATAAAAACAGCCTTTACACTTTTGAGATTCATAATACATTTCACAGCATGAAACATTCATTCATTTACCTGAAAAATTGTTGACCTCCTGCCAAATATATCCTTACAGGTAAGGAGAAATTGGTAGATTTACCTACAGTTGCATAGCTGATATGTGGCCAAACATCAAAATCCAGAGCTCTAAACCAGTATGTTTTGTACTCATAATTATATGCTCTTACATAAAACAAAAAGGCAGATTAGATTTCATGCTAATTAATGATAAAACAAATCTTTCTGTGATGCTGGTTCAATTGCCTTCATTGATTATTGCAGAATTTTCTATTTGATTCTCTTTGCTGAACTCTCATGACATTTTAGATATGCTACATGTTAGGGATTCCAAGCTAATTAAGAAATTGACACTACTCCAAAGACCTCCTAATTGGTGTCTTTACCTTTGATCTCTACTCATTCTGAATCTCATTATTGTCTAAATTTTCTAACATAAAAGCTTGAATTTTTGTTTTCTTTTTTCCTTTCCTTTCTTTTTTTTTGAGACAGAGTTTTGCTCTTTTTACCCAGGCTGGAGTGCAACGGCGTGATCTCGGCTCACCGCAACCTCTGCCTCCTGGATTCAGGCAATTCTCCTGCCTCAGCCTCCTGAGTAGCTGGGATTACAGGCACACGCCACCATGCCCAGCTAATTTTTGTATTTTTAGTAGAGACGGGTTTCACTATGTTGACCAGGATGGTCTCGATTTCTTGACCTCGTGATCCACCTGCCTCGGCCTCCCAAAGTGCTGGGATTACAGGCTGTTTTCTTATATAAGAATGCTAAGTGATTCTCCTGTAATAAAGTAAAAACTCCTGAGCATGGCCAGAGTTGGAATAAGGGGCAGAAAGGAAATTTAGTTCAATAGCGTTAATTATGTTCATTTTAGGCACGTGGACTTGTGATTCTAAGGAATCAGGAGGTGTTTCAAAGTTCACAGCCAGCATTGTGGCACAAGTCAGTTCTGAAGGTACAGATTTAGGGACCAATGCTGAATCCATGGGGGAAACAAGAGCCCTTGAAATGGGATACGAGTAGGAGATAATGCTGAGGATGCTGTGAGAATAATCTAGAATCAGGGTTCCAGTATCTTGGCATAGCCACCTCAAATCCTTTCTGCATCAGGCCTCATTTTCCTTTGCTTCTAAATAAAATGGAAAAATTAATACAAATGGTCCCCCAACTTAACCATGGGTTCTGTCCCAATAAATGAGAAATTGAAAATAATGTAAGTTGAAAATGCACTTAATATACTTAGCCTACTGAACATCATTGCTTGGCCTAGCCTACAATGCTGAGAACATTTACATTAACTTACTCTTAGGCACAATTATCTAACACCAAGCCTTTTTTAATCATAAGGTGTTAAACATCTCATGTAATTCATAGAATATGGTACTGAAAGTGAACAACAGGTTGGTTGTATGGGTACTCAAAGTACAACTTGTACTGAATGCATATTGCTTCTGCATGACTGTAAAGTTGAGCAATTGTGAGTTGAATCATATAGTAAGTTGGGGACTATCTGTGCTGCATCAAGGGCCCCAGGATGTGAACATAAATCATATAAATTATTCTCATTCCTGGATAAAAATCTGTTTCGGGAAAGAAGATAAATTAGCATGATACAAATCTTCAAATTACATTTGCCCAGTTTGAAGATGAGGGTCCAGCATAGTGTGACAAAGAGTGTTTTCTCATCAACACCTTAAGTTGTTCTGCAGACATGCTGTCCACTTTGCCCAAATTTGTAATTATTTCCTCAGGAAATGGAATTACTGGGCTAAAGGGAGTTAACATCTTTAAAGTTCTTGTTAACCACTGAGAAACTGGTCATGAGAAAAACTGAATAATGCATATACATGTCAATTGCAGCTCATCATTACTAATGCTAAATACATTCCTCAAAAAAATTTTTCTGTTTAATAGGGTATAAAGGACATTTAATTTTTTATTCAATATGCCTTACTTTGATCATGAATAATTGCCCTGCCTTGCCTTGCCTCAAATTGCCTTGTCTGGAATTGCCCTGCCCTGCCTTGTCTTGAATTGCATTGCCTGGAATTGCCCTGCCCTGCCCTGCCTATCTATGCCTCAAATTACCCTTCCCTGCCCTGTCTTCCATGCCCTGCCTTGACTTGCCTCGAACTGCCCTGCCTGGAATTGCCCTGCCCTGCCTTGCCATGCCTCGAATTGCCCTGCCTGGAATTGCCCTGCCCTGCTCTGTCCTGCCTTGCCTTTAATTGCCTTGCCTGGAATTTCCCTGCCCTGCCTTGACTTGCCTTGAATTTCCTTGCCTGGAATTTCCCTGCCCTGCCCTGCCTTGCCCTGCCTCAAATTGCCTTGCCTTGCCCTGCCCTGCCCTGCTCTGCCCTTCCCTGCCCAGCCCAGGATGAGCAACGGTGAAGGATGCTCCTAGGGTCCCTTGCTGGGAAAGGTATTAGGGGTCGCATGTACCTAGGCTGAGGCAAGAAGAATACGTGTCCGGGGTAGCAGTGGCGCTGGTAGCCCTTCACTGTCCATTGAAGAGCTTCTTCTGTGTGACCTTGCACTTGTGCCCATCAGGTGACGGGAGGTTGGTGGGCAGCATCTGCTCGCTGAGTCAGGTCCCTGCCGCTCCTGGCCCTGCAGACTGGGAAATCTTAAAACTCCTCTTTGGAGCTTACCATGCCCGCTCCTGGAAGACCCAGCAGCACCGCCTCTACTTCTGATTGGCTCCACATGAGGGGCCGACCACTGAAAACATCACGTTGGCGCGCCTCCGGTGACGTCACGTTGGGGTGCCTCCGGTGACATCACAGTGGGGTGCCTCCAGTGACATCACGTTGCAGAGATGGGCCTCCGGCGACTTCACAAGGAGGTGTGTTGCCTAGGAGCTGTGTTGTCTTCTTCACAGAGCAGAGTCCGGTAACTTCCACCTCCCACTGTGTCCTTTGTGCCGCTGGCTGGAGAAGGGTAGGTAATGAACTCTGACCCAGCACAGTGTTTATGTGGGTTAAAAATAGAAAAAGTGTGTCCGGACACTGGGGAGGTGGGAAGTTTTCCTCAGGCCGGGAGTCCAAGAGCAGCCTGGCAAAGTGGTGTGACCCCATTTTTGTAGTCCCACCTCAGCCTCCCAGCTACTTGAACCCCAAGGTTCAAGGCTGCAATGAGCTATGATTCTACCACAGCACTCCAGCCTGTGAGACTGAGGTAAACCCTGTCTAAGAAAATTTTTAAAAACTATCTAAGTGTGCAACATTGGGGGACTGCTTAAAGAAAACTTGAGGCTGCCTCGGCCCTGTAATCCCAGCATTTTGGGAGGCTGAGGCGGGAGGATGGCTTGGAATCAGGAGTGTGAGACGGCCTGAGCAACATGACAAAACCCCATCTCTACAAAAGATACAAAAATTAGCCAGGCACAGTACATGCCTGACCTAATATTTTGTATTTTTTTGTAGAGATGGGAGAGGGAGACCCTCCCATTTTGCCCAGTTTGGTCTTGAACTCCTGAGTACAAGCCATCTTCTCACCTTGACTTTCAGAGTTCTTGGGATTAAAGGTGTGAGCCACGATGCCCTACTTGGTTTAGGCTATTTAGTAACAAAGTCCGTGGCTCGGCTT